CCGACTGAACAGTGAGTCATAATAGGCCTGACATTACTCTGGTAGATAAAGAGGAAAAAATTACTTACCTGATTGATATATAAATTCCTGCAAATAATAATATATATCAGAAATATCACGAAAAAATAGAGAAATACAGTAAACTTCGAGAAGTCCAAAAAATATGGGATATGAAAAAGGTAATTGTGATCCCGATAATTATGTCGTCGACGGGCTTAGTACCAAGTCATCTGAAGAATAGTTTAAAAATAATAAATCTATCTGAAGATATTATCTCAACAATGCAGAAAGCCACTATACTTCAATCCACATCAATGGTCCGATACTTCTTGATACTTAGTTATCCGTTCCTCACACTACCCAATAAGGTGAAAAAAAAACGTATATTAAGAACCCCATTTAAAAACGTTGATAAAAATCGATTTGTGTTCCATTAAACCGTTACGCCGTTGTTCCACCGACAAAGATATTAATTTAGTCGGTCTTATAGGTTGCGCGTCGCATCCTTTATTCCCCGTCAGAATTTGTAAGTCATTTCGAGGTTTTTCTTTTTGAACTTGTCCAGGAAGAGGACGTCGCCGTCGTACCGAGCGTAATGATCGAGTCACGAGCGTTATTACGCTCGCGATCGCCGATTTTTTCACGTTCAAATCGAGCACCGCCGGAGAGTTTATTAAGAGGCCGTTTGCGCCAGCGAGATGATGGTGGTACCATGACGGTAAATTTAAAAGCTCGATCGGTAAAAGACTGAAACTGGAATTGTTGAGGATGCGTTAAATTCGTGGAAAACTTTTACTCATTTCTCTTTCTTCTTTTTACTTTTCAATTTCTCATATAAAGGATTTATTACATTATTTAGGGATTAATTTAGATCCTGCACAGCAAATATACAGAGTGGTCCGACCTGTATTCCGGAAACTTCGGCAACATATTCTGCAGATAAAAATAAGTAAAAAAGTTTGTATAAATGTATATCTTATGCGGAGATGAGGTCTGAAAGTTTTTTGACATGAGAAAGTTTATTTCGATGTCAATATAGGTCTGTTCGTTTTCCTGTTATTATCGATTCTGAATCGTCCTAGAACTCTCCAGAGCATGCGCAAATGAAATAATGTCTTCATATTTCCTTCTGCGCATACGCATCACAATTCTAGGACGGTTCAGAATCGGTAATAACAGGAAAACGAAAAAAGCTTATGACTCTTACTTGTAGAGGGCGCCACCTACATGTTTAACTGGTTTGGAGAGTAATAACGTTTCGGCCGTACTAATGAGTAAAACTAATGAGTAAAAAAATATACATATGCACCGTTTTTTAAGCAGAAAAGGTCTCTTGGTAAAAATCGTTACGAGTAATTGTTTTCGAGATATTTGGAATCGATATAGATTATCAATACCTGTCGTCATTGACATAAATTAAATGTTGACTAAATAGTTATTAGACTGAAATCATAAATTTGAAATGTTTTTGAGCCAAAAGTTCAACAGAAACTGTTTTTAGTTTAAAAAATAAAAAGTTCCCAAATCTCAGATATTAGAGACTCCTTTGAATAAGAAGACTAAGGAAGGAGCATAATGCTATCCATGTATTCATGCATGGTGGGCGGAAAAGCCACCATAAAAGCTCTCTAGGGTGGGGATCCTGGACAGTTCTGTTTGACGATTCATTTGACACATTTGAATTTGATTTGAAATTTTTGGATTTGTCAGTCTTTGCGGAGCTTATTTTATGTTATTTATTATTTATTCTACTACTGATAGTTGTATAAAGGTAGTAAATCTAGATGGAAATTGTGGCAGAACTTAAATTAACAGTGACACTATCGCGATTTATCGAAAAAGACTCTAAAATAGTTGGTTGTGTAGCGTGCGGTAGATCTCGGCAAAAATTGAGTGAAATAATGGAACAACTTTTCGCTAGTAAGTGACTATATAATATACATACGTGTAGTAAACCGATTATTTATGAAATTCACTTAAATTAACTAAATTATATATTTTTCTTGCATTTTAGCTTTTATTTATTACTTGTCAAAGATTAGATGTCAAAGAATTTAGATACGTTAATTTGACTTACCTGCTTCAGTAGCGTATCGGATGTTTGTGTTAATAAATACTTATTATAACTTATCTATTTTTATTAGAATTATATATTTTTATAACAATTTTAATAACTACCAACATTTATTCACAACGTAAAATAAAACAACAAATTATTGAGTCTACCCCACGTCTACCCTACATCATAGTTTTACATTTTTTAAATAAAATTAGAACGACACTGATAAACCGGAATTTAAGTCGGCCATATTTGAGGCCCATCGCGGTGTACCGAAGATTTTTGATATGCTCCTTCCTTAGTCTTCTTATTCAAAGAGAGACTCGGAGACTGTAGTTGTCTGTCATACTCTGACAGTCACGACTCAAGTTGCGCCGGTTTCCTATCAAAAATGAAATTAGTATTCAGTCCGTTCCGAGTGTGAGAGTTTCGTTTATTTAGAGTGCTTAATTTACAATGTCTAGTGACAGTAGTGATGGTGATATAATTATTCAATATTATTATTACCGTCGCTGAAGTAGAAAATACTGGTTACGTCCTTATATCGAAAGGAACAGCAGAAGCCTTTCAATTTATAATTAAATAATACTGAAAAATTTTCCACTTCGGTCACAAACTTCAAATTAAATGCTTGTTCACTCATAGCGGAGAGAAGGTTACAAGAAACTAAGCAACTAGTCTGAGCGCCACCACATAATTACATATGACGCATCTCCAAGTCGCCAAGTATCCCAGTGATTTTGATATTTGAGTATCCCCATGTGAGGAGTGCCTTAGAGAAGTAAAATACCACCAATCGTACACCGCAGTCGTCAAATCCAAAATGTGGCTTCGATATGTTGACGACACCTTTATAATCTGGAATGGAACTGATAGATAGTTGAATTTCTTTCTCAATCATTCTCAATAACTCCATCAATTTTATGATTCAGAAAGAGAAAAACTTCTGTCAATCGTTTCTGGATGTTTTTGTCAGAAGCTATGGATCCATTAGCACTGCTGTATATAGAAAACCCACACTTAAGAACAGTATTTATATTCTGAATTGAACTATTCTGAAGCAACCAAAATAGATATAGTTAAAACATTATCGTCATCGAGCAATCACTATATTCAATGACCAAGAATCTCTGAATTCTAAACTAAGTAATATTAAAACTGATTTTCTTTAGAATGATTACTTTTCAAAGTCCCGTCGTCGCCTAGTACGATTTGACGAACATAAAAAAACATAAGCAAAGATGAAGTCAAGTCAAGCAAAGAAGAAACAATGAAGTCAGGCATTGCAGATCATGCGTGGTCTAAGCAGCACAACATAAAATGGCCGGAAGCTCGGGTTGTCGGGTTGTCATCCAGGTATGGACATTTCAACAATATGACAACCACTTATAAAACGTACCAATGCAAGTATCCTCAGTGGACAACCTCACGCTTGACTACACCCAAATTTTTCACGGGTTGTGTAGCAGTTTTCTGCGAAACTTGCACTACAATTAGGTACAGCGATTGCACTTGTTGCGCACGCTTATATAATAGGGTGGATTCAGTTTGAAATGAAATAAATATTTACGGCTAAATACTAAACACTATTTAATTAAAATAAGTACTAAAAATTGGACAAGTTTTCTCTGCAGCAAATGCGAAGAACGCTTAGCAGAAGAATTTTATAGTCTTAGTTTTCAAGGCAATAATATAGTCTATGAAGCCTTTACTGGCAAGTCAAAATAATCAAACTGAATTGTTTGTTACCAGTTCCTAGTTCCTATTGTTTTTCTGGCACTTTTCACAACACGTCACTCACAATACCGATGAACACTCAGAAGAGAGTTACTAACTAAACAAGTAGGTACTTATACTTAATGTTGTTAACTAAATAAGGAGAGAGCAAATATTTCTCTGTTTATCTACTAGAGAGAAAAAATATGCGGAGACAATACAATAGAATGAAAGAGAAGAGAGAGAGAGCCGCGTCTTGTTGAAGTTGAACCAAAAAGGGCCATTTTTACGACCTGACAGTTTTTGTAGTTGTCTGAAACACATGGCCCCAAATAGAAAGTTCAAAAACATGTGCGGTTCAAATCAATTTTGAACAGGTTGTATATTAAGCTCAGTAGTTTTACAATTTAGATTAGTTCACACTTGATAACATAACGGTCAGTGATACTTCTGACCGAAACATTCCGTAAGTAAAATAAATAGAGACAATGAAAGTCCGATTTTTTTTAGTTCCTTTACTGAATCATTGCCTAGCACATTCAAAGTAATATTTTCTTATAAAAATCTACAAATATTACAGTTTAGTTGCAATAGAGATTTTTTTTCTGCTAGGGTTGTTTATATCTCATTTCATCGAAAAATGTCGCTGCAAGTACTGCGCGCGGTTCACTTTTACGCTGCTTCACTGTTTTATCCAAGAGTTGGAAGGTTTTTTAATATCAAAGTAAGAGGCTGGCTTACTTGGATGCTACGAAGCTTTCCAACTCGACTTTAATAAAACAGTTGATACTATACAACAGCGTAAAAGTGAGACGCGTGCAACTTCCATATAAGTATATTTATAAGATAGAAAACAAATTTCTTGCAGTATAGGTATATAATAAGATTATACAAGGATTTTTGCCACTAAACTGCTGATATAGAAATTTAATTCTACGCTGTGTTTGTCATAATGTGGATCAACCTGCTCTCACTACCGGTTTCGGAGCCCTACTCCATCATCAGGTGAGCTTGGGCAGATCCACATAATGACAACCACAGCGCAGAGATAGTTAATTCCGACTTGTAAGAAAGTGTTGGTGTCGGTATATTTATAAGGTAGTATCGGGTTGACTTGGTCAAATTACACTGGGACCGTGTCAACCAAGCCTTAGCGAGATTCAGTTTGATTTACTAAAGATTTTGATAAAGACTTTAATACACTAATTAATTTTTATTATTCCAGGCAAATCTGCGTCGACGATGGCGAAGAATTGTCCCTGCAGTACGGCTGTCAATTCTACGAGGTGAGCGCGGCAGAAAACTTCGCTGGCGTGTCCCTAGCCTTCCAATCGGTCCTTCGAGAGGCTCGTTCAGTACAATTACTGAGGGCGCTGCCCATCAGAAGAAAACTGGGCGTCAACAGCGTATCCAAAGTCCTCGGCAACATCTTCGGGAAGAACTCGAAAGGGGATAGGAAAAAGCGACCGTCGCTTAGTATTTAAACTCGAGATATAAGCAAGATATTATTTGTATTAAGTATAAAAAGAAAAGTTCCTTAATTTATAACGTTTATGTATTTTTTTGGTTGTACGATTTTTAGACAATTACAAGAGAAGTTAGTTGATATCAGGTATAAGTTGCCCGTTCTTAAACCTCCATTTGATTATAATTTAATCTCCATTTGAATAAATTTTCGAAAATAAATTTTAAACTATAAAATTCGTTAAAACGCATAATTTTCCAGTTTATTTTAAAATCTCAATCAGGGCCCGAATTCTGGAATTTAGAAAACGCAAAGCATTTTTTGATCTGTAGATGTGAATATATTGTCCGTGGACATAGAATCCGCATAGAAGTTTCACTTCAACAAGACAAAATACAGTAGGAGGATTTTCAATATATCCAATGTTAAAGGAATTCAATCATCGTTCTCATATCTTGTGTCATCGTTACTCTAGTAGAAAAGTTATTTTTGACTTGCGCTTAGCCGTACCGTGCAGCTCTCCGACTCCAACCCACACTTCCGGCGCATGCGTATTGGAACGGCAGAACCAAATAATGCCAAAGATAAATGCTTCAATATAGCCTGGTTACGAAAGCACCGTATAGCTCCGCGGTTGCAGGTTCCTCGGGAGCAACGAGTCGTTGGATCGATCCCCGACGGAGGTAGACTTTTTTAATTTTTTTACAGCTGCGTTGGTTAGGCGTATTTTCATGGCATTGGCTAGTCTCTGGTGTAAGTTTTTTTTTGTTTATAGATTGCACACGAAATACCCGATCGATTTTGTAGAACTGTTATATATTGTTATAATTTGTACGTTTTTGAAATTCAGGTTAAATTATGCTACTATTACTTAAGAACTTACTCTCGAAAGTTACAAGTTTATAATAAAAGACAAGAAAATAACCCACGATTTAAATATGGCGGGAACTGTGGGTTGGAGTTGGAGACTTGCACGGTACGGATAGACGCAAGTTTATTTTTCTAATATACACATTGAAGCCAAGTTATATATCTGTTAGATAATTAAATGGAGGTTTATTCAACGGTTTTTTTATTATTCAGTATAATGTTAAATTTGATTTGCTTTATACATTACCAGTAATTACTTGGATACTTAGTACTCGATTACTCAGAGACTGAGAGGGTACTTTGTAGTGATTTCATCATTATGCCATATCTATTACAAATATAGATAAACTGTTAAGTTTCATTCAGAACCTCGCAATTAGTGGAATAAATTAGTGGTACCAATTACACTACTTTATACTTTTTAGTTTACGATCATTCACAATGTCTAAAAAACACAATTAAAATTAATAGAATATCCAAGCAACAGTTTGCGGTAGTCAGTTGTATCCATAGAGAAAACCTAATATTCTCTTGACGGGTGATAACAAATGCCAAAAATGGGTCAAAATGACATTCCTCGCAAATGTTGAAACATAATTAGTGAAGAAGTTTGGTAACTTTTTCTACTAATTGAAAATGACTACCACTAATTTTGACGTTCTGGATGCTTACATTTAAATTAGAGGAACTAACTTCTACGCTAATTGAAACCACTAATTTATTTCACTAATTGCGAGGTTCTGAATGAAGCTTTACACATGGTAAAGGAAACTGTTTTGTCGACAAAATCTGTGTATATTACGCAGTCACACCTTCCAATACTAATGTCGTAGAGTGCTGTGTATTTTAGTATATTTCTAAACTACCTGACACACTTGAATGAAAACACATAGTTTACAGTATCGTCAGGGGCGCAACTAGACACAGACTTTTAGGGGAGCTTAAGCCTTTTAGGGGGCTTAGGCCACTATAAGATACTATTGATTTGAGCTTAAAACCAACTTTATACGACCTATAACAGCCAATTGGGGGGTTTGGCCCACTAGCCCCACTTGTCCCCCCTATGTGCGCCGCTGACTATCGTGCTATGCGAAGTAAATTAAAATCATTAACTGAGTGAAAAAATATATTAGTTCATAATAATTATAAAGTTCTTTTGTTTGAAATGTGTGCCCAAGTATCTTTAAGATATATAGTATACTATAGTCTGTCAAATGAGGGGATTCTTAACAATAATAGTAGTGCTGTCCTTTTAATACACTGGAAAATTGTATTTTGTGATTTTTTAAATGTCGTCTGTCAAAATTTCTCAAAACTCGTTTGACAGACTTTAGTTACAGACTGTAATGTATAAAACGGAAATTACTGAAAAAACTGATATAACAAAAATAAATGACTTTTTAAAAATGAAATGCATATCATAATATCGTATATTATGAAACAAACTTTGTTATGTCAAATTATTTTAATAAAAACTATTTTTTATGTCTATGAGTTAATTTTAATCTAGGCAAATTAAATTATATTTATATTGATAAACCCAAAACCGGTATCACAAAATTACATATTATTATACACAATTTGATCAAAAAGTTTTCTTTTATCTGTCAAAGTCAAAGCCGGCTTGGTCCATAATAACACTTTTAGAATACGCGCTACAATTTATCCATACATTAAATCAGATTATTTAATTTACCGATTCTATTACAACATAAAAATATCAGTTTTACTTCTTTTTACAATTTAGACAGAATATATACTATATACTAAATATAGTTACACAGATCCATTACAAAAAAAATTCTGAGTGAAAATAATTTAATTTGCCGGACCCTGTATAGTTTTGTAATATTTAATGTTTTGCAAAAGAAGAATGAAATTATTCCATATTTATTATGTAAAAAGACAAAAAGAGTACTTGTAATATACATTTACTTTGGTAGATTACCATATAGAAATAAATCTTAACTTTGTATTATAGTTTTTAATTTTGACAGGCTAATTGCCAACTAAATTTTAGTGAGTTTCAATCAAATAAAATGAATTCATTTTTCAATTATGGTGATAATGATTTTACTCCATTTTTCGTGAACGAAGATGATCTCAACAAATTTAAATATTACAACAAAAATTATATCTATGTAGGTACGAGTATATTAAGAAGAAAGACGATATAAATATATTTATGCTAAACATCAAATGTTTAGAATTAGAATAATTGTAATTCATTCTATAGAATAAAATTGCAATCCTTGTACATATTTACGAAGAATAATTGTGACTAATGTACTTAAATAAAACATATCTGTAAAGATTTAATTTTGTATTATTTCTGCCAATTCGGCAAACCTTTTAAATACATATTTTTTACAGTATATGGAGTGGCCAAGAATATGGGCCCTAGGATGCAACGCTCGAACCTCGCAGCCAAAAAATTTGAGACTGTTTTTTTTTACAGAGGAATAAATATCACAGGTCAAATAATAAAATATACCTTATAATAAATAAGTATAAAAATACATTTAGTAAATTAACTTTAAAAATAAGTGATATATACTTTTCATTTTGAAATTCAATCAACCGTACCTTGCGATTCACATTCACCCACATGTGATACATAATCTATTTTTTCTAAAATATCAGTAGCACCCTTCAGCAACTGCTTGATCTCAATTACCGTGTCAGAATTCATCAAAGAGAAATTCTGAAAAGGAATCCATCTGCGTTTCTTGTCTTGAATTGCAGGTTGAGAGAAAACTATACCAGGGGTTATTTCATAAGAACCTATAATATTATATTTTATTTAATAGAGTAAAGTGGTGAAAAAAATATAACACAAGGTGTTCCTTTGACGATCTATGACCCCAAGTAGCATTTGGACGTTTCTAACGTCGGGTATACGTCGCGTTCAATAAACCCGACGTCGGATACCAACGTCGCGCGTCGGTTCGACCGCCTGACGACCCTTATTTGCACCTAAATGGGGAAAACTGACTTAATAGGGCATGTAATTCTACCAATTACCAACGTCATATTACGTTGGATTTCAATTACTTAAAAGTCGTCGCTAAGCACTTACGTTACGTTTGGTTTCAAATTCGCTACCAAGAATACATAAAAACCTAACCAAACTACCTAATTACAAATGGATTCATAATCACTCCTCGAATATAACTATAAAGTACCTACCTAATTTCATATTATAATAATTCTGAATCAATAATCCAGACATCAGTTTTGTCAATGGAAGTCACTTTTTTGATATATCTGATTAAAATACTCCGGATAACAACGAGCGCCTTCAAAATTAGGTAGATTTGTGAAATTAAAATATCTATAAAAAAGTAACTCGCAAAATATTTTTTTTTATTTTTTAGCTGGTTTAATCATAAAACTGTGCTGTGGTTCCCCCCAAACTCAACCTTATCAATATTATTCCACTTGAAATCGGAATGTGAATATAAATTTTAAAAACAAAAAACGATTTTAAAATGGCTGACAATCGGATACTTGTTAAGAATGGCGGATTTCTGTGTCCGACTTAATATGAACTACCAATATACCAATTCCGACCGGGTCTCCAACATTAGTCGTTTCACACGACCGAAGTCATCAAACCGGACGACCGGCAATCATATTATGACGTATATAATTCCAACGTACACCACGTAAAATTTGCGATCGGCCGGCATACGTACAGTTCGTCTGCTGGATCTGTGTCTATGAAAAGAATGCGGACAAAAAACATTTAAATAAACAACAATATATTTTATACGTCGACTTGACGAGTACGTCACCGCAAATCGCTCCGCCCACTCATTTTATTGGCTACTTGCAAATTTGTCGAATTTTTATTGATGGGACGCGTCGTCAAATTTTTTACGAAAAACATGGAGAGAATATCGTTTCCCCTCCCACGGATACCCCGTAGCTATAGAACGGACAGACGTACAGTAGGAGCATCCGTCGTCTGCCGCAGAGCATATAATTTTTCGTATTCCTGGTAAACGATTCCCGATGTTGTCTGTTATTGGTCTATGGTCGCGTTCATCAGGACAAGTTGATCAGTGAGCGATGTACCATCGATTGGTTGTCCTGCTGAACGTGCTTTTAGATCAAAATCATAAGTAATGCATATTAAATTGTTTTCACCCATTTTTGGCACAAATCGAGGGGATTAGTCAACCGAGAACAATAAACAAAATGCTTTGTTTCCGTTTTCCAAAAACATTTTGTGACATTTGGCGTATGTGACGTTTAATCCATCATGCATCGGTAGCGTAGCGTATTTTAAATCTGATGAAAAAAATGGCGACTGATCCCAGAGCGCTCACAACTAATCGGCGCGTTCAGCAGAAAATTAGTGATCGCTGCGGTAGCGCTACGTCCTGATGAACGCGACCTATGATAGGTCAATTGTTTGTTGTCAAAAAATGTTTGACGTTTGACGGTTCAACGATTTCGTAGGCGTAACCTCACTTTGCGTATCAGTGATTTGTGGATTTGTGCAATTATATTTTAGTTTTTGTTTTCTCCTTAAAAAAATGGGCAGCCACTTTTTTAAGATAGTATATATACAAAATTTAAAAGAATTGGAACCAGCACCTCACATGTGGGAGGAGGATGGGGTCTGCTGGTTTCCTAAGCTAAAAAAAATTAAGATGCACCAGTGTAATGCAACATCTCTTCCATATAAAAAGCATTCGTGGGTGGAGGCAAGACATCACAACTACTATTATTATTTTGCAAAAGCCTCGACCTCTTTTTGTAAAATGTGGATGAATGTCTAAATGCCTTTTTAGTGTTTTTTTATGCATAATAAAATAAATTAAGTTTGTTTACAAAAACTTTTTATTAGGTTATGTTCATGATGTTCATTAGGCCGCAAATTCTACTAAATGGGTTGTATTTACGGACGTAAATAGAGATACGTAAATTAGGTTATAAATATGAACATAAGATACAACAAAATATAATTGGACGTTACTTTAGAGATTATCAGTGAGACATATCCTATTCGGACAACGGGTAGACGTCGGGCTAGTTCAAGTATATGTAATGTATGACGTTGGGAAATTAATAAAAATGGTACGTTGTTATTTTGTACGTCGACAGATCGTTAGATTTACCGACTCAGATCCAACGACGTCGCTTTTAATAGGACTTAAAATTTGCACAAGGTCTGACGTCGCTTCAGGTCAGATTTAGTTCGTTAAATTAAAATATCTCAGTTATTTTGAACAAATTTGAAAAACGGTAAAATTGTTTCTTTTATCGAGATCTACCAGCCTTGCAAATCTTTGCACTTATTTACGACTCACCCTGTATACCGGGTGCGCACTTATGCGTATATCCTACGCGCACTTACTCGCCGTTTTAAAACAGTGCTTAAAACGTGCGCGTAGGATGCATCGCGGCGAGCAGCGCATCGAGATACCCCACTATATTTGTACCCTTAGAGAACAAGGTTACAAATACACTAAGTTTACTTTTTGGATATACTAACACATTAACGAAGTCAGATAGATGCTACTTTGGACGCTGTATCTCTCGGCGTTATACACGGAAATCCATCGTTCCCTGAAATGCCTAGTCGTTTCACGTATTACCGGCAAACAGCGTATTTTGTTGTTATTGCAGTTAATTACTTCTTTTTGGATTCTACCTTATCAGCCATCAAAGTCTTGGTCGATATATACATGTCTAGGAGTGAATCTCTATGGTGATCTAGTAAGTCGGAGAGAGAAAAATGCGTAGTATTTATTACATTACCGCTTAATGAGACGCTAGATTTCATGCTATTAGAAAAATGCTTGCTCTTCTATCTTTATTCAGTACATCTTATTGTACTGAGCGTATTGGCCGTACTCTTCGTACACACAAAAATCGGTTCCTAAGACCAGAAATACCGACCCGGTATTAAATTGAACCTGTACGCTACTACCTATATGTTCAATTCCACAATACTTATATCCAATTTTCTGCTACAAATATGCTGATAACTAGAAGCCTTTCGATGTATTTTTTATCTTGACTATCGAAATTACAGAATATACCTCAATTTGGTGCACTAACAAGCAACACTGTCTTCAAGTTCAATTGTCCCGTCCTAATACCGGATAACAGGGTAACTTAAACAATTTAGTTAATTACAGCGTTTCACTGAAATATTCCGCCATTTCAGCGAATGACTGTCAAACGATGTACCAATTAAAGTGTTACGCTGTTTCCCGTCAAAACATGCCTGGGCTAGGCGTTTCAGGAAATAACAAATTTCTCTGTTTGACGCCTGTAAATCAGTCGCAAACGGTCAGATATATGTTTTGTTAAATGCCAAAAATATAAACTGTTAAATTTGTCCAGATATACCACCCCTTGAAACACTGACATTCAAATATGCTGTAGATAATTAACGGAATAAGGTCCATCCATCGAGAAATGGGACGATTTCAACAGACTCTGTCCAAGAATTGACAGGAAAAATTATATACAATACGATCGAAAAAAAACGGCATTAGAGCTGGCGTGGAAATAATTGCTGTCATTTTACATGTCAAACTATACGAGGAACGTCATCGATCGTCATTTCAAACCAAACTTAAGGTAGTTTTTTTCAATCATACGGTACCTTTGAATTAAAACTTTGAATAAAAAGATTAAGAAAGGAGTAAAATGCTATCCATGTATTCATGCATAGTAGACGGAGATGGGAATCTAGGATGGGGATCCTTGACAGTTCTTTTTGACGATTCATTTGACATATTTAAATTTGATTTGAAATTTTGTGGATTTGTCTGTTTTTACTGATCTTATTTTATGTTATTTATTATTTATGTTACAACTGGTAGTTGTTTAGAGGTAGTAAATCTAGAAATAAATTGTGGCGGAACTTAAATTAACAGTGACACTATTGCGATTTATCAAAAAAGACTAAAATAGAGTGATTCATCGGTCGCTACCATGTGAACTCATAAAATAATTAACTAGAAAGAAGTGTCAACTCTGTATTAAATCGTGGAAACACGATACGCCACCGAAAGCCTTCGTTGTCGTCTGGAGAACTAATTTTTCAATTGACAGGTTGACATGATAAGGACATGATGGCTAAACTTTCATTTCCGTTTCCGGTTATTCGATGGCGGGCCCTCATTGGTCGCACTGCAAGCACACCAATGGACTGACGCACAAAAACGAATCAATCAAAGAAACGCGATATAGTATCGTCTTTGTCAATCACGCTAACATTTTAGAATAAGTAGGAGGAGCGCAGGCAGATGATTAGACCGGGCTAAAGCCCGGTCTCCTACTATTTTTAAAAAACCTACGTCTGCGGTAAAAATTTACGTTTTTAATGTAAAAATGATAGCGCGCGTGTCGATTCTAACTTCATCAAGCGATGAATCACCCCCAAACAATCGTGGCGTTTACTCTAAGTGACCATACAATATGCATAGGTGTAAATTTATTAAAAATTAGATGTGAAAGAATCTAAATACGTCAATTTGACTAACCTGCTTCAGTAGCGTATCGGATGTTAGTGGTAGGGAATGCAATCCCGCAAATGATGGATCCCGCAAATGCGGGATCCCTCTAAGATTCCGCGGGATCAAAGTTGTGGGATTTACCGTGCAGGATCTGCGGGATCGACACCAGGCCCTGCGCACTCTCCGCGAAACGTCAAACCACGAAATTAGTACGACTTCAAGAGGCCGTGCGCTAGTGTCGCCTGGCGGGAGAAAGCGACAGCCAATAAGAATTTTTCTGTTTTATGATTGGTACTGCTCAAAAGAGGGGCGACCGGCTGAATTTTAAAATACTTCAGTCTATCCCCGATCCCCGTCGTCCTTTGAGCTTGTTCGTGGCTCGATCTAAATTTTTGTAATTGTTACGAAGTGTTATTGTTTTGACTTTTTAAAAATGGTGTTATATTGCTGTGTGTTGGGCCGTAAATCCTCTAGTAGATCGTCGATTTTACATAGTATGCCAATGGATAGAGAGGTAAGTGTACTTATGTTTTTGACCCATTAAAAAATTCGTATATGTAGTATTTTTTTAGGGTTATGCAAGTCCAAGAGATCCTCTAAAAAAACTTGCATTTGAAGTATTTAAAAAAAAATAAAGTAAAACAGAAAAGTCTTAAATAAAATTAAACAAGTCCCTTTATAAAGTTTAATGTTTTTATTGCTTTTGTTGATAAATATTGTTTATATTATAATGTAAAATGTTTGTATAATGTGTATGTATATAACGTAAGGTACTAATCTATATAACGAATTATTTTTTATTCAAATGTTGAATGGATAATATTATAGTATTATTTGATGATTTTTAATAAAATTTTTGTGTTTCATGTTGGTTTTTGTATTATTGTTCCGTATCAGTCTTATTAGAAATATTATATACATATTGCTTTTTTCTAAACGTGAAAGAATTAATACTGTTTTTTTTTAGTTTTCTGTAAAATAAAAGTTATATTTTACAGAATACTAAAAACACAGTATTAATTCTTTCACGTTTGGTAAAAAAACAATAATGCAATTCAATTTCAAATTTTAAATTCCCAGGACCTGGCGGGAAAAATGAAGATTTAGTACGTCTTCAAGTCACCGAGCGCTGTAAAACGCGTCCTCGATAAATGACGAGAGTTGCCAATCTAAATGTTTTTGGTCTGTGATCGGCACATTACTACTGGATAACCGAATCGATCTCAATCAAGATCAAACCGCTACGTTCCGGGCCGATGCGCCGACGCTCGGAACCCGGGGGGTTCCCCTTACGACATAGCCATTAAAAATAAGCGAAACAAACACGTTAGTTGTTAGATTTCTTTCTGGCGTATGTGAAGTGAAGAAAAGCGTTTAACTAGTACTTGTGGACAATTTCGTCAAATAAACAGCCGGACATAATTATCGGGACAAACAACTAAAAAAGATTTTTGGATGCGGTTTGGACCAGGTTTTAGATGCATCTATTGTGATTAAGACGCTATGTGGTTTTCGAAAATATATTTAGTGAATTCTCGTATACAGGGTGTTTTATAAGAGTGTGAAAATTTGGTCAAGAATCTTTTTCACCGCAAATTTACAATTTTTAAAAAATCGAAATTTTTACCAAGTACGACTAATCTGTATTGAAATTAGAAAAAAACAATTTGATCGGTTTTTTATTTTTTTTTTGTTTTAAGGAAAATACGACTTTTTTTCGGAAAATATGCATTTTAGTCATACATATGGTCCTAAAGGGTATAAAAAGCTTTGTACATTCTGCATATGCCAAAAAATTATTCATATAGAATGTATCTAAAAGCAGATAACTAACACAGTTTCAAAAAAAACTTCAACATAAGAATAATATTTTTATTTATAAAATATAGGTGGTAATAGGTGCCCGGTGGCGTAGAGGTACCGGCTCTCGTCTACCAGTCTCAAGGTAGTGGGTTCGAATCCCACACCCGGCATTTCAGCGGCCGACTATTTTTATTAAAATAAAAATAGTTTGGGTACCTAGGTCGACTCAGCCTTAAATGAGTACTTGGGATTCACAATCCTGAGGTAATAATAGGCGGTTGAAGCGTAGTGCTACCCACATTACCTTCCTTGTATACCGAACGGCTCTAGTATGGCAAGCTGTACCTTGCTACTCCCAAGGCGTCAAACGCTATATACGGGAGCTATTATTATATATTTATGAAATAAGTAGATAAATTAAAATAAAATTTAAGTTTATTTAATATTAAATATATTTTTTAAACACTCTGTATACATCGGTCCAAATTTCTGTACAGCTAGTTTAAGATACACGCTATATCAATATATTATGGGCCTATGCAAAATGTACAATGTCTTTTGTACCATTTAGGACCAAATGTATGACTATTGTTTACAGTCTCGCGATTTTGCGGATCCGCGGGATTGATTGCTTTAATCCCGCAGGTTTGCGGATTGAGATTTTGGTGCGGGATTGCATTCCCTAGTTAGTGGTATTAAATAATTATTATAACTTTTTATCTATTTTTATTAGAATTATATATTTTTATAACAATTTAAATAACTACCAAGATTTATTGACAACATCAGAGGCAACGACCCAGCTACATCAAAACACCGGTTCCCGTTAGATCACCGAAGTTAAGCGACGTCAGGCGCTACTAGTGGATGGACGGCTGACCATCTGGAAACTCTGTCGTGCTGTTGTTCCATGGCAAGAGTGTAAAATCTATTGACACACACTGCTCATTTACGCCGCGCCGGTTCAAGAGTCGATTTAGACACTAGTTAAGTAGGTAGGCCATTGACCATGATATGGCCGACGACCGCGATTCTGATTCCACGTTACAAAGCAGGCCCTGTCCAGATTAGCCCAATTAGCAAAACAGAGAAGTTAACTTTAAATTTACTAACGTAAAACAGGAACAATAAGAAATTATTGAGTCTTAAATCATATTTTTACACGTTTTGAATAAAATTAGAACGGAACTCTTATAAACCGGAATTTAAGTCGGCCATTTTTGGTCCCCATCGCGCTAAATTTTTTAATATACTCCTTCTTTAATCTTTTTATTAAAAGGAAATACTATAACTGACTAATTAGCTCGTCTAAAAACTAATACTTTCTTACCATTAGAACATATTCCTAAGGAAACAATTTCATCAGTTATTTCCTTACTGTACCATATTTTTAGGAAACTCATCAATGAAGTTAGTTTAACAAAGCACGGTTGATGCGGCAAATTTTTCTCAACATTTTTCTACAAGTTTGAATGAAACGTAATACAGGGTAGTCCGAGTTCAAATAGGGAAACTTATTCTACAGATAAAAATAAGTAAAAAAATTCGTTTAAATTAGTGTCTTAAAACGCTAGGCTTCGGATATAGGTGTAGAAATTTCAATTTTATTTCGATTTTTTCCAGATAATATCTGAACTTTTAGGAAGGAGCATAATGCTATCCATGTATTCATGCATGGTGGGCCGAAAAAGCACTCTAGGGTGGGGATCCTTGACAGGTCTGTTTGACGATTCATTTGACACATTTGAATTTGATTTGAAATTTTGTGGATTTGTCAGTCTTTACGGAGCTTATTTTATGTTATTTATTATTTATTTTACTACTGATAGTTGTATAAAGGTAGTAATTCTAGATGGAAATTGTGTGGCAGAACTTAAATTAACAGTGACACTATCGCGATTTATCGAAAAAGACTCTAAAATAGTTGGTTGTGTAGCGTGCGGTGGATCTCGGCAAAAATCGAGTGAACTAATGGAACTTTTCGCTAGTAAGTGACTATATAATATACATACGTGTAGTAAACCGATCATTTATGAAATTCACTTAAATTAACTAATTGTATATTTTTTCTTGCATTATTGCTTTTATTTACTACTTGTCAAAGATTAGTTGTCAAAGAATTTAGATACGTCACTTTGACTTACCTGGTTCAGTAGCGTATCGGATGTTTGTGTTAATAGACAGTTAAAGCACGGCCAAAGACGTAGACGTAAACGTATCGTTTGACATGTACGCTTGCGCAGAGAGAAATTCACTTGCGTTTACGGATACGTGATACGTATCTTTACGTGCCTTTACGTACGTACAAAACGCAAACGTATCGAGCCGAAGGAGTTTCGATTTTCACCCGAATGATGCCGAACGTACAAATTCACAAACAACTCGTTTCCACAACTGGCTAGTAATTAAGATATTTCATAAATTTTGGGGCCAGTGTAACAAAACTGGGCCTATTTTATTACAATAAATTAGTATGAAAATATTAAGTATCATAATAAACTCATTTTGGGATCTATTTAATTAAATGTTAGTTCTTAGCCAAAATCCATATGAGGATTCTAAAAGATGGAATCTAATAAATAATCATAAAACTGTGTCTGTTTTTTTATTACTAAGAGCATTTTAAGTTGTAAGGACTACTTTCTGTAATAAAATAATTTCCATTTATAATTTTCTTCATTTTTCCAACTTTTATAAATTTGATGCGGAATCAATGAAATAATAGACATCCATTTTAAGTTTTAAAATTAAATAAATTGTTTCACAAAATAATTTAGAATTACAAATGTACCATTTGCGTTACGTACGTCAAAATACTTGCTTTAACTCTTGTTTACACGACAACGCAACGGCAGACGTAACGTAGGTTTCTGCGTTACGTGTCGAGAGATACGTATACGTATTGAGCCTTGCTTTAACTGTCTAATAAATAATTATTAAAACTTATTTATTTTTATTAGAATTTTATATTTTTATAACAAAGTAGTTAATAACTACCAACATTTATTCACAACGTAAAATAAAAAAAATTATTGAGTCTACTCCACGTCTACCCTACATCATAGTTTTACATTTTTTAAATAAAATTAGAACGGCACTGATAAACCGGAATTTAAGTCGGCAATATTTGAGGCTCATCGCGGTGGACCTAAAATTTTTGATATGCTCCTTCCTTAGTCTTCTTATTCAAAGTTCTGAACTAACATCGATATTTAATGAAAATTATAGTGTTTGGGTGTTTTTTGACATGAGAAATTAGATTTCGATGCATTTTAGGACAAATATTTATACGGACTTTTTTACTTATTTTTATGTGCCGAGTATGCAGTCGAAGTTTCCCAAATACAATTCGGACCACCCTGTATATTCCCTGTTGTAAAGATATATTAATTTGATTAGTTACCTACATTTCGTTCTTTTACCGTTTCTATAATAGTATTATGCATATCGGGAAGTAAATACGACATAAGTCGTAATTCTTGATACACTATTCCTTGAGGTAATGTAGATCCCTCGGGTGATGTCAGAGCTCTACAAATAAATTTTCATATTGAAAACTAAATTGATATAAAATGTTCAACAAATGTAAATAGGGCCAACTACCCATCAAATAAAACAATCGGTTTTCGACCGTTCAACATTTACACATTGATAATTAAAACCAGGGGCACCGACTAGCTTTTACAAAACCTCGTGGTTAACATCTGAAACAGCGGAGCACATAATATGTCACTGTGAGGCTCTGGATCGCAAGCGATACATTTTATTTTGGAAAACTAGGCTAGAACCGGAGGACGTCAAAAGCTATGGAAACCCTACTCGACTTACCTCCTCTATTCAAATTCTTTTGGAGAGAGAGGCGAGATGGGCTACATATAGGTTTCTAAATATGGCACGAGGGAGCCAAGGAACAATCGTGTTCATACAAAACCAACTAGTAGACGAACTACAATCGGATGAGATTCTGGGAATGGTCTCGGATCTCACACCACCAAGCAAACTCTTGACGCGCACCTACAAAGTCCTGTTTCCGAATAAGGACGAATGGGATAAGCCGAGAAACGGCTTATTACTTGCGGAAATATGTTGGTACACGGACGGATCCAAAAACGATAAAGGATCTGGCGCAGGAATTTACTGCAACAGTCCAAAGAGTGAAATCTACCACAGTCTTGGAAAACACACCACAATTTTCCAAGCTGAGCTATATGCGATTGAAACCTGTGTGCAACTGCTGGTAGAACAGCAATACACCGGGAAAGCAATAAGCATATTTTCGGATACTCAAGCCGCGTTGAAAGCACTTGAGGCAACGAAAAGCACGTCCAGGACAATTCTTCGTTGTAAGAAACTACTACAACTCAATATATTAGGAGATGGAAACAAAGTGTCGCTAATATGGATACCGGGACATGTCGGCCTATAGAGAAATGAACGTACTGATTCCCTCGCCAAAACTGGTGCAGGCTCGCCATTCATGGGCCCAGAACCGACACTTAGCGTACCAAAAAATCTCGCAAGAGACAGGCTCTGTGAATGGGTTAGGGGTGCGACGTTTCGGGACTGGTATGACAGTCCCGGAATGGAACATGCCAAGACAATCCTAGCAGGGCCATCCAAACGTAGAACAGATGAACTCCTAAAGGCTGGTAGGAACGGAGCGCGTACGCTTACTGCAGTATACACGGGCCACTGCCGGCTGAGATCACACCTACAGAGGATGGGACTGGTGGAAGACGCCGAATGCCGACTCTGTATGGAAGATGACGAAACAATGAAGCACGTTATGTGTACCTGCCCCGCTGGGGGCAGGACCAGGTTTGAGGTGTTTGGCAAACCCACGTTAGACCTATCAGACCTAGAAGACATATCACCCTCGGACATAACGGCCTATATTAAAAGGCTGGGTCTTGAGGGTGAACTTTAATGCTCTTTTTCTATTAAAGAGCTTGTAGAAACCGAGCCACAATAGGCCCTCGCGGCCTTAGTGGAGTACCACTCTTAGTCAAATACAATACAATACAATAGAACCGGAGGAACTATATTCCCATCCTATGAAGGACCTGCATAAGTTGGTGCAGGGTACAGGGATAGGAGAATGGGTGCAGATATAAAAAATGAGATAAACACAATAGGCCTAACAGTCGCAGTGTTGTTACTGAAAAAAAAATTGCCGATATAACCAGCGCTGGCAAGATTGATATAAAAGAGAAAAATATTGTCCATGTATATTCTTTTTGTAATTTTAAAGACTTAAATTTTTTTGAATTGTATTATTTGTATTGTGTATTTTTTGTTGTTTGTATTTTTTGTGATTTTGTTGTTTGTGAGTGCTTTGTCGATGAAGCTGTTTTGGTTTATCTCTGTGTTATTACTCTTAAATAAATAGTATTGTGATACTTTAAGCTTAAAAATGTTTACTAGCAGACCTGGCAGTCAAACATTGTTCTTTTTAGAACCTCTTTTAGCGCGAAGTGTACAAGATAGTTTAATAGCCGTGAAAAACTCATCGCAACTTTATTAGAATATTTTGAACCGGAAAGCGGTAGTAATGGCCCTTTATGTCCCTTAAGTGTTGTTAAGAAGGTGAGTTTTCTTGATGTAAATCTAAGATCTACACCACACTGGGCAGGCATATTCTCCCTCCCACTACCCACTTAGAGAGGACCCACCAAATGGTGTTTCTAGCGACTGGAAAACCTGGAGAACCTCAACCAAATCAGAACTGGGGTGGCCCCAGTAAAATCCAATTTGATCAAATGGAGTTTGTTGGACAGAAATGACGACAAATGTGACTGCGGTGCCTTTCAGGACATGGAACATCTTCTTCAATGTCCTGCGTGCCCCCACAGATGTACCCTCGATGACCTATGGCTGGCTAAACGGGAAGCATTGGACGTATAGCCCCATTACTGGGTTAATAAACTATAATATAATCCGGACACGAAAAAGTAAGTAAGTTGATGTAAATAATAACTGTTTATATATTTATAATTAATTTATTTTTGTTTCCTGACATATTTTGTTTAAAAGAAAATATATAAAATTGAACAACGCTGTACCGGTTAAGCTTAATCACGTTACTAAAAATTTATTTAGTATGAACTGTAGACAATTACCTCGCATAAGGACGATACACATTGGCTTTAAATAAAATATTTTCATCGTCAATGTACTCGTTAAATCCGACAAAACCCCAAACGGGTGGAGCTCCAATTTTTGACACCGGCACGCCTGTCATTTCTGACACTGCCCTTATAACTGGTAAGCCTCGGTCTGCTGTTAAAGCCACGATATTTGCCGGACTCATAGAGGTACAGTACTCTACCAAAAGCGTGGCCAGAAAACAGACTGGATCGTCGTTACAAAAGATGATCCTGAGAGACCTTTTGCCTTTTATGTTGATGGTGTAAGCTAGATCTTCCATCCTGTCCCTGCATCGATTTAAGTATATCTCTTGAGATTCCCAATCTAATCTGAAAATTAAAATAAGGAAAATTACGGTAAATGTACATATCTATAGAATATTTAATACACTAAAATCTCTGACATACCAACAAGACATCTAAAAATAAATATTTTCTTGTTTTCTGTTTTAAAATTTGTTATCATTTTGAATGCTCTTGGGTACTCAAGAGCATTCTGGAAATTAAAAGGCAGGGTTTTCTACAATCATGAAACTTGCAGTGTACCAAGCGATAATAATTCCCACCATGTTATATGGAAGCGAAACCTGGGTGCCGTACCGCCGACATATGAACGCATTAAACAAGTTGCAACAGAGACATCTTAAATAACTCTTAAACAACTCTTAAGTATCAAATGGTTCCTTCATGTTTCAAACATATCGGTCTTTGAAAAAGCTAAGTGCGGGAGTATTGAAGTCATGATTACAAAGTCCCGCTTAAGATTACAAAGTCCCGCTGGTCACGTATGCAGAATGCGAGAAAACCGCATACCAAAATCTCTACTTAACGGTGAGCTTGTAGACGGTAAGAGGAGGCCGGGTAGACAACTCAAAAGGTACAAGGATATTTTCCACGAAAACTTAAAGGGGATTACACCCAAATGTATGGCCCGTAGTGCATTAAAACTCTGGATCAGGGAAAAGCAGAATGTCCACTGGAGAAACAGACAGGGGCACAGGCACAGCAAGGCTTTTATCCAAGGACCTAGCTCCAAAACCGCAAAAGAACTGCTAATGCTTAGCAGGAATAAATTGCGGATTACAACAGGCCTCTTGACAGGACATATGGCTGTCAAGTGTTACCTGAACAAGCTCAATCTGTATCAAGGAAGTCTTTGCTGCAGACTCTGCGATAAAGATCCTGAAACAGCGGAGCACATAATATGTCACTGCGAGGCTCTGGATCGCAAGCGACACTTTTTATTTGGGAAAGCTAGGCTAGAACCGGAGGAACTATGCTCCCATCCTATCAAGGACCTGCATAAGTTAGTGCAGGGCACAGGGATAGGAGAATGGGTGCAGATATAGAAAGGGGACAAACACAATAGACCTCACAGGTCGCAGTGTTTCCGGCAGAGGACGGCCCCTTATTGTGGAAAAAAAAGGGGGATTAACATATGCAGAATGAGTGGGAAGAACCAGCTCACAATAGAACGGAATGGAGAAGAATTATAAACTCAGTTAACAGCGACAACCAAAAAGTAAAGAGGCAACAAAGCAATGGGATTTTTGAATATCCTGAGTGCGGTAGACAGATAACATCACGTATCGGGCTTTTCAGTCACAGAAAAGCTCATGAAAGAAAACGCCTTGCGTGACCTTATGATGCGTGTCAAATACTCGTCAGCGAGTAATGGCAGTATCCAGGGGTGGATGGGCCATATGGGAAAACGGGAAAATTCCCGGTGGGCCGGTGGGCCAGTCCCGATCAGAGCTCAAAAAAAGATTGGATTAGCAAAAATTAAATGGTTAATCTTCTAACTAAAGTGACGTAAGATCCTTAGTGACTCCATAACTAACTAATCAATTTGCATCAGTATATAATCGTCAGTTGCTTTTAAACAAAAACACCAATTTGTAAAATAACTATTGTAAAATGCCTTTCTGGGACACGTATAATTTTAATAATCATCTGTTGTTTGTTCGGTTTGAAAATTTTTATTATACAAGGTGAGTCTATAAGTGTAAATATGTTCAGGGCTGGTAGATCTCAATAAAATAAAGATAATATATTCTCTTTACTGAGTTTCAAATAAGTCCAATCGAGTTATTAAAGTTTGAAAATTAAAAAAAATAGATTTATTTTTAAAAAAATTCCTCAATTTTTCGGTATTTGCATCTCTTTTAGTGCCGTAATATCAGAGATTAAGAAACTATACTGTGGGAAAATTTGCGATGAACAGGAAGTTCTAAAAAGTTTTCTAAAATATACAGGAAAATTTAAATAAAAAATGATCGCTTTTTAACATCTTTTTTTGCAAAAAAAAACCTTAACGTGTTAGGTTAGGTTAGGTTGGGGTCGAAATATACCACCCCTGAAAATATTTGCTCTTATTTAAGACTCACCCTGTATAGTTTTTTCCACTATTCTTTTGTAATAACTAATAAATATGACTGACTGGCAGCAGAAAAAAGAAAGAATAGCATTAGGTAAATTTAAATAGTCTCGATCTAAATGTGTACTAAGAATACGGTAGCGTAGATTGACAACTGGGGGCCTCGGTGCAATATTTTTCGAGCTCCCCTTTGTAAAAAGGTAGACGAATTTGACGCGAACTCTGCGGTTGACGGAGAAAACATATCTATGCTTGGTTTGAATTGGGGACGGACTAAAAGTCAAGTGTGAGAACTAAAAACCAAGTCTAAATTGCTGTTTAAAATTTTGCTGAAATGAATTTGCTAAAAATTACTGAGACAGCAGAGAAGAGTTAAATAAGGTTTAAAGATTAGATAATAAAATATTAATATGTCTCGAAAATCCAAATTCTTATTATGGATTGTAACATAGCATTACATCAGAACACATTTATATCCACTGCCTAGGTACTACCTAAGTTTTTTTCGTCTGAGTAATGACATTATCATACAAGATGCCAAATGGAGAAAAGTATAGAGGAAAAGTTTCGTGATAAGAACTATATAATAACCTAAAAAATGCTTCATTCAGTTAAAAACACGTATACACGACAAGGCTGCTGCTGTAGCAGAAAAGAGAAAATTTCTTTCTACAATGTGTAAGAAAGCGAAAAGTTAAAAGTAAAATAAAGTAAGTTAAAGTTAAAAAGTAAGTTAAAGTTAAAATACCCGAAAAGCTAAAAGTAATGTATTTCACAGAGGATTGGGTCAGCTGAACTAAATGAATCAGGAAGTCTTAAAGTTTCTCAAAATCGTGACTCAAAATCGTAGCCTATTGAAGATCAAATTATCGTTATCGATAATGAAAATAAAGCAGTAGAACCCTGTAAAACTGAGCCATTTTGTAGTAAAAATTCAGATGTCCGACCCAATATTGGTCTTTACGAAAATTTGGATCAAAACACTTTAATATATTTTTTTAAAACTGCGGAGGCTAAAGAGCTTCTTCGCACGAGCGAAAAACACCCTTACATATATATTAATAAATAAAATATGTTTCTTCGTTATGGTCATTTTGTTTTTGTGGATTTGGGCCGGTTGCATGTTTTTCCCGGGCCGGTTTCCACTTTCCCATCCACCTCTGGCAGTATGTATATATGTATCATTTTGAATAATTTTTTAACCTCATTATATTTATCGTAATAATATTGATGGGTGCTAATTATCACAGAATAAGGAAAATCAAGCCAACAAATAAATAATATCCAGGTCAACATTGTAAAGATATTATTTTTTCTTTTCACTTTTTTTTGTTATAAATTTAAAATCTCAATATATGATTTATATTGAGATTTTCAGATATTGAGATTTATAGAGATATTTATATTTATAAATTTAAAATCTCAATGCATAATATTTGTGATAATATCAATCGTAATTATCAAAGAAATCAAATTCTACAAACTAGTTTCTAATATTCTAAATGTTCGAAAGAATTACCAATATTTACCGCTCCACCTAATGCACAAATTTATTTTTCATCCAATTTTATATCCTTTCACTGATCTTATATTTCCAAATGTACAGGGTGGGCTAAATTCGACGCTTTTAAAGGAAAACACCCTTTTCTATAGGAGATAGACGAAAATTGATATTGGTGTCTGGAGCTCAATTTTTATCAAAAACATGATGGTGAAAACTGCACATCGATATCTCGTTACGTTTATGAGTTACGGGGTTATTTGTTAAAAATGTGCATTTTTAAGAAATCGCTGTAACTTTTTTGCTATGGAAAATTTTGTATTTTTATGAAAACATTTCGAAAGCACCTTTTTACGTAGAATTTAATGGTTTAAGTATATTTTTTAAAAAAATTAATAATTGAAAAGAGTTATCAATAGAAAACTTGATTTTTTATTTGGGGCACCCTATATATTTTTAATTAAATGGAAAGAACTTAAAATTACCTCATCAAAAATATAACACACTTTTTATTTTGTTCCTTGTTATATATTGTCCCCTTCTAAATACATAATTTTTATAAGTTCGCCACTTTTAACTAATATGAATGTGCTAGTAGGCTTTGGACCCCTTATTGATGATCTGTCCCTTATGGAACTCGAAAACATCATATTATTCCAGCAAGACGAGGCACCGCCTCAGAACGTTGAAGTTATCAGCAAATTTTTGCAGCCAATTTCGAAAATAATTGAATAGCTAACCAAGATCCCAGCCGTTGGACTTAGTGCCTGGTATCCTTAGTGGATTTTTATCTTTGCGGAAGAATAAAAATTCTTATTTTTAATTTGCCCGTATAATCTAGACAAAAATTAGAAGTATTTAGTAATTATGCGAGGGTATATTTCACCGCCACTGAGTTAATGAATTTCGCGAGAAATGTTCATAAACGGTCCCGTCTGTCCATAACAGAAGTCGGTTGACATGTCGAACACCTGTAGCAAAATCTCATGTCCCGGTTTGCTACTAATTTTTATTGTTATTAGATATAGTTTAAATGTGTTGATGTTGTTAAATATAGTTTAAGTTGTTAGGAAATCCTGCATCTCTCATGGCAAATATTATTTTCTTTTTAATTGCTGCTCAGCTAGAATTTTTTTTGCATTACAGGCGGCACCGTTCAAAGCCTACTTATTCAAAGTGGGCGAATTTTTAAAAACTCTATATCTCGAAGAGGAATCGAGCAAAATATCAAGTATGCTATATTTTTGGAAAGGTAATTTTAAAGTATTTTCAATGAATTAAAAATATACAGGGTGTCCCATATAAGAAATCAAATTTTTAGTTGATAACTCTTAAATTAATAATTTAAAAAAAAATATACGTAAACCATTAAATTCTACGTAAAAAGGTGCTTTGAAAATGTTTTCATAAAAATACAAAATTTTCCATAGCAAAAAAGTTACAGCGATTTGTCAAAAATGTACAATTTTGAAAAACACCCCGTAACTCCGAAACGGTAACAGATATCAATGTGCGGTTTTCACCATCATGTTTTTGATAAAAATTGAGCTCCAGACATAGTTTTCGTCTATCTCCTATAGAAAAGAGTGTTTCCGTTTAAAAGCGTCCAATTTGACCCAACCTGTACGTTTTGCACTTTTTGTTGTAAATGTTGAGGTGTATAGATTTTACTTTTACAAATGACGTCAGGTAATGCCCCCAAAGGAAAGTATCCCTTGACGACAGAACCTCGCTGTCCATTATACATTGTGATGAATAGATAAAATATTTAAAAAAGTGCCGGACTTCAAATTAGTTTAAATAAATTGTTTTTAAGTGCCCAAAACGAAATAAAACTATTAAGTGTGGTATATCGTTGTACTCCTGAAATAAAAAATGCAGGTCCGTATTTAAAAAAATTAAGTTGGCCTATGTCTCTCACAAATGATCAGCTAATCTGAAAATCTAAAAATACTATCGGGTAGTCTTGCAATTTGTTTTTGGGTTTTCTAAAAAGTAACGACAGGAAAAAATAAATCGATTTTCAAAAAATCGTTTTTTCCAAATAACTCGTCAATCCTTGCAATCCTTGAAATTTTTGAAACGGAAAAGATGGAATCTTGGTGAACATTCCAAGGCGCAAATTTGCCCCGATTTAACCATGTTCGTATCTCTTACGGTTTCAGAGATACCAATGCTTGTACCTCGAATTTGTAGGACCCTGCATATTAAATAATTTAGTTCTTACTTTGTAACATTTTCAAGGTATATTAATAAATCCGTATAAATAATAGCTTCTTCTTCGTCTCCGGCAATTTCTATTTCATACGATTTGTCAGTTATACCGCATGCCTCATAGTTTTCTATCAATTTTTCCAGATATTTGACATCTAAGTTTTCTGAAAGTCCCGTTTCGTACAATTTTAAATGAAGACCGTTATTTTCTCGAAGTTGCGTTATGTTTCCTAATTCTCCAATTAGTAATGGTACCAAAGGGTGGAGAGCTCCAAAAATGCATATTTCAGTATCAAATTTGCGATGCATTTGAGCATCTTCTTCTGCTTTAAAGTACTGAAAAAAAGATAATACTATGATTATGCAGAGTATTTCGTAAGTAAGAAATATTATGAGCAATTTATAGGCTTTTGTTTTTGAAATAACGGCATGTGATATACAGGATGTTTCAAAAAACATGTGTCTCCCCTCTCCTCCCCTCATGAAGATATTCCTTTCTTATCTATATATTATCTATATCAATATATATCCTATTTATTATATCAATATACCGGGTGTGTCTCAAAAGTGGCTTACCCTATATTTTTTTACTTTTTTAGATAAAAAACGAAATTTGGTATTTTAGTACCTATATGACATAAATTAGGATTGATTGACGTATTCAGTTGTTTCCGGTTACTTCCTGTTTCACCGCAATGACTTTTGACAAGTGTTTTTTGCGATTCGAATTAAAATTTGAGGGTGAAAGTTACAATAAGTACGATATATTTTAATGCTAAAAAAGTGTCGACAAATTCACCAGGGACGTGGATATGGGTTATCACTGAAACATTTTTCTAAAAAAAAATGTGCGCCACTGACTTTTTTCTTGTTGGTATAGTTAGTGGTTATACAGTATGTCCGGAAAGCACGGGCGCATATACGGGAGGGGTAATGGGGGTAATGACCTCTCCCAAGAAGAAATTTATGATTAAGATAAGATGTGTTATAAATAAAATTGTCACAAAAGAAGTTAATAACAATTAAAAAAGAAAAGCCAAACCTATCAAGGTGTATTTCTTTCCACAGTCACAATATACATATGTCAAAGAAAATATTATTTAAATTTAGTACTTTATGGTTTCCGAGATATGGCCACTTTAATAAAATCTGTTAAAATCGTCCCCTTGGAACAGATTTTCGGGTGTTTGTTTTTTTCGGGTGTTTTTGTCGGTTCGGTTTTTTTGTGAAAAATAAAAAAAATTAAAAAATAAAATGTAAAATTGTAACGGGGGTGTAAAATTTTAACAAGTGGCAGTGTCTCTAAAACCATCGATTTTTTACTAAGGTCGTATTATGTTTTTCTGGATACTTATGAGTTATTGGTCCATCACCCCTTTCAGTATTACCGTAAACTTTCCGGATACCCTGTATATGCTTGTGTCATTTAATGCCGATTAATAGTTGTCTCTTCATATTTTGTCGATTTCAGTCTCCTTGATGAGATAAACACAATCTTATTAATTTGCCTTAATCCAAGACTAATAGCACAGATTAGGTATACTATATGTATACAGATAAAAATCTTATCCCTAATTCGTGGTACGAAAATTGTTTTTTATGACGATGTGCAAACGAGTAAAATTTCCTGTGCGCAAAAATAAACTCGCGTAAAATAACAATAAACAGCGTAATAGAGAGATATCGCTAAACCGAATAGCGGGCATGGACGTTAATAAGGCCAGGTGTTATTTCCTTTACGTGAGGTGGTATTAACTCTCTTCATTTATAGTTATCGGATCGGAAAGAATTCTGTTTGCGTCGCGTCCGCTATTTAAACTTAACCTAACTTTGAATTTAAAACTTTGAAATTGTTTTGTTTACTAGGTATTTTAAAACTAAAGGGCGAAAGTGCTTATTTCCAGTGCTTTATTGTTCAACGTCTGCCAGTGGGTTTAGGGCAACAAGCAACAAATTCTTTTAGAAGGGCTAAGTCGTCATCTGATGTAAACCTAAGCCTCTTTATAGGTTCTTTAATATTGGAAGAGGCGGAATCCATATTTTGGGCCATATTTATTTAATTAAAACTAATCCCAGCTACTTAAATATCAAATTACCTAATAAAACTAAAGTAATAGTTCAAAACAATTCAAACATAACCTAAAATAAAAGATCTCGCCGGCCGGCCCCGGTTGTCAAATACCCGCACATGCCCATTTAAGCAATTTTTAAACGTTATTTAGAAATAGCGCATGGTGTAATTGATCCGCAAATTACGTCAGGCGGTAACGTTATTAGAGGGTGTTGCGTTAAAAATTGACTCGCGCATATTGTAACCATGATAAGGTATGCGTAAATACCGTATGACGCTATTCGGTTTTCCGATATCTCTCTAATAACTGTGCCGGTCAGGGTGCAGCCACGCTATCCTAAAAACGGCGTATCGGCGTAACGGCGTAATGACCTTGAATAGATTTCCAGTAATTCTATTGGCTGAAACATTCATCTGTCAGAAATTTTATCTGTCAAATTCATCTGTCAAAAATTTCAGCCAATAGAATTACTGGAAATCGATTCAAGGTCGTTACGCCGTTACGCCGATACGCCGTTTTTAGGATAGTGTGGCTGCACCCTCAGGCGCTGTGCACAATTTTAAGGCGGGTTCTCACTTGTCAGTTTCGCTGACGCAGTGTGACTGATTCAGTGATACTGAACAAATAATGAACGTCAGAACACATTTTCATGTTAAATGATCAGTACATTCGTACTTTCAGTTAAAGTGAAAACCAGTTCTACTTTTTTTCATTTTTGACTGATCATTATCGAATAATGAATAGAAACTGAAGCGTGAGAACTAAATTTTCATGATTTGTTTAGTTTACAACGTAAAAAAGTTTACAACGTTAAAGTTAATTAAATCTTTTAATATAGTTTCACTAGCACCCCGTTTATTTCTTCGCAATATCCAGGACCTGACCCACCACCTACGACGTTTTATTCGTTTCTGATTCACTAGAATATTCTGTAATTCATTTGCTAATATTGTAAACAAACTTCGCGAACACCTGGTTTTAATTTTGTTCTAACCATTTTCATGTCTACGAAATCACGTTAAAATGTTTGGACCAACTGAATACTGAATGTAGCAAAACATAAAACGTGTGAATACAATCGTTGTTTTTTATTTTTCATTGATAACGAATCAGTCAGACTGCGTCAGCGAAACTGACAAGTGAGGACCCGCCTTTTTAGAGGCCATAAGTGGGCGTGCTATGCGCGCAAACTAGTAACCTAACTAGTGCCCAATTCCGAAAAATGGAACCACGAAAAACAATAAAGAAATAATCTGTATAATCTGTGCTACTATGCCTACCGGACTTTTATAGCTCAATACCTTTAGAGTTTTTAAACGAAAAAATGAAACAGTTCTGTCTAAATTCTTAACACATTTTCTAATTGAGTATTAACAAAATCACAGTTTATCTATTAGTTCTAGGAAGTTATTTGTTTTATAATTTATGATGGGAAGTAAATGCAGGTAAATGTAAGAGAGTAAAAATACGATATTACCAGAGATCAGCAATATTACTAAATATGACTAATTCTTAAAAATATACATTACTTTTAAATTGTCCCGAGCCAATTTTTCCAAATCTTCTTTTGCAATCGACGTTGCCAGGCCATAATAACAATAACAATATTCCCAAAATTGTCCCATGCCTCCGATAAGATAAGGTTTACCTCCCCAATCGCTAATTTCTTTCCAAATAATAGGACTGTTTACCAAATGCCATCTATTTTTCTTATTTAAACCCAAAACGTAGTCCTAAAACGCAAAAATTAGTAAATTTTTCAATCAAGTACCTAAGATACTTTCTTACTGGCCATTTCGATTTTGCAATAGAATTCTTTTTATACTTAAAATTAGGCAAGTGGTCATGAAGATATTGTGCAACGTAACATGCATGTGCAAATTGAATGCAGTCTGGCAATCCAGAAATTATATAAAAAGCCATTTAAATGTAAGTTTTTGACAGATATCAAATTTTTGTTTGTTTTTATTTTTCTAAATTCATACCGTAATGATACGCTACTGTCAATATTTTCTTTAATTTGGATTATAAAATACTATATACTGTATACTGAAAATAGTATATGGTACTAATTTAAAAATATGCTATAAAATTATATAAAGATTGTTGTTATAGTTTATAGTTAAATATAAACTGGCCATAAACAATTTATATTAAAAATTCTTAAAATGAGGGTATGCAACCAAACTTACACAAATATTCGGAAACTGTCAACGTCAACTTCAATATTTTTCTTATTGTACAGCCACCAATGGGATAGTACGCAGTGTTTTAAAGAAATCTGATACGAAAAGTTATATCCCGAAAAGTTAATTTATGTTTATCAATTAATTATTAATTAACTTAAGAGTAAAAAGTGATCAAGTGAAATATTTTCAGACTTATTTAAGGATTGCAAAGTATTATGGTCCAGTTCTTGCACTAATCGTTTAACAATGATAAACTTTATTGTTTTGGAAGGTCCAGTTATAACAAATAGGTGAAAAATTCATATAATGGATAATGAAATTGAAGAAGAGCTAGATATAAATGAACAAATTTTTCATAACAATGTTCGAGAGCAAATAGTAAGTGTTTCTAATTTTAATATAGAATATAAATTAAGTAAATTGCACTGATAAAGTTTAGAAATAATCAATTATAACATTTATATTTAAACCTACTTATTTTATTTCCCTTATTAAATTTAATTATACCAATAGGTATATGTATTTTTATTGCTTTAATTTTCAATACAATTGTATCAGCATGTAACCATTATCCTACAACATACAGTATAATTCAGTACTATATACCAAATTATGTATTAAATGATAATTTTAATTGTTAAAGTAATTAGGAACGCTGATTATAATGGTTTCTAAATTACAGTTTGGCTGGGTTTTTTTCTGTAGTTTTATACATCTAAGCATTAATTATATTTTGAAAAAAAATGTATTTTATTTTGAAGAAATAGAAGTAATAGGCTAGGTTATCTAGTTATCTATAACAAATTAATCAGTAGGTAGAGCTTATGGCCAGAACTAGATACAAGCTGATACAAGTAGAACTTCACGAAGTACAAAAAGTAGTATATATTAATGGCATTAATTGAATTTTTCTAGTAATAAATTTTCCTTTATTATATTTATAGGTTTTAGAAAATTAGAAATAGAACATATTGTGTTAAAAAGTTATCTTTTCCAAGATATTTATTAAATAATAGTATAAATATTTGAAGAACATACTTTCAGAACGTAGATACGCTTGCAAGTAGTTTGTGTCTTTAATCTACATTTTAGAGAGTGTTTTATAGTTTGCTCATTTATCAACATAGTATCAAATAGTAAATAACTTGTTTAAGTTGTTTTCACAAGGAAATGATAAAGTACTATTGTTCCTAAATTTAATTCATAGTGTATTAAAAATACAGCTAAACTTGGCTCTGTAGAAAGTTATTTATAGTACTACTTAAATGAATCTTTGTTTACAGTTAAAAGAACAGAAATATTGCTAAATATAAATACATTAACACTTGATTTGATAAACAATACGTAGATATTTGTATGTGCAAAATATTTTCAACTATTCTATTTTAATATGTACAAGATGCTACTGTTCGAGAGTCTATCTTTACCACTGAATACTAGACCTAGTAATTTACTAAAAAAAGCAAGAAATAATTAAATACTAGATACATGAGAAATTTGAAAAAAATAAAAAGCAACAGGTACATTTCAAAAGAGCCATTTCCATGGGATTCTGTTTTATAGAGAAGTTGTTAACTCAATTGCTTTACCCAAGTTGAATTGGAAGGCTCTACAAATTTTGCTGCTGCAATAAAATATCAATGCTAGGAATATTGAGCTCAGAATATTGCAGGCTTAACGTCTTGACCATTATATCTGGTCATAAACAATTCTAGAGTTTTATAAAACCTTCCAAAGTATATAATAGAATCATAATAAGGTAATAAAAGTAAATATCCAGAGGTGTGTAGTATCTTATGCCTCTGTACCTTTGTAAAGGGTAATTCAAACTTAGCGCTTTAAGAGAGATAATACCAGGTAAACGAAAATGCAAATTTGTGGAAGTAGTATAAAATGGTGGTTAGGTATATTTCCTTGTATATGATTCCACGAATGTAATGGTGCGTTTAGACTTGAGCACGCACGCACTGATCCTCCGCGAATGCTCAAGTGTAAACGGCTGTGCGCGCACGCTCACTCTGAATCTGTCTTTGCGCGAGCAGTCGCGAACGTGAGCCGTCTGGTGGCGGTTTTTGGTCCGTGCTCAAAGGGATTTTATGTGTGCGCGAGCGCTCAATTTGGACCGGCAATTTGTTTTGTCTGCGTTCGTGCATGCGTGTGTATTTTTTTTTCGTTTTCTTTATTAAAATTATGGAGTGGATCAATGAATCTTCGTTATTATTAATTGAAAAATATGAAAAGTTGCCTATAATATGGGATGTTAAACATTCTTTGTATTATTAAAAAATCAAAAAAAATATAACGCATGGCAAAACCTTGTAAATAAAATTAATATTGAATATGTCGATATTAATGAAATTGCTATTCTAAAATTTGTATCTTTTTTTCGTAATTTTTGGTGTTATTAAATTTTGTAGATATTAAAAGTCGGGCCTGGTCATTCTTGTAAAGTTTTTGAACTGATCATAGCCCTTCTCAGACACTACGTTGTTGCAGTAAATTATATCGATTTCTAAAAATCTGGGTTTGCCACCAGCGAAGCCGACGATGTTTTTTCGATTTTTCTTCTTTTAATAATTAAGCTGTGCATAACAATGACTACAGCCCCGACTATTTCTTGGTCGTCCATTATTTTCGCCAACACAACTCTGCTGTGCGCGCACAAATGGATCACTTCATTCGTCGAAAAATAAGTTTTTAATTTGAACGCAGCCGAGAGCGCGAACGAATGCTGTGCGCGCCCGCTCAGCTCGTGCGTGCTCAAGTCTAAACGCACCATGTTATCAAAACTATTTTTCCGTAATCACGGCTTTTTTGTTATAATCGGAAAGAACTTTTATATAAAATATGCAAAAATCTTTGGCGAATGTTAGGTCATCAAATCTTTTTTATGCAATTTTTTGTCATCATCATCATCTTCATTTTCAGCTTATTCAACCATTTCCAATTATGGTGTACCCTCCCTTACATACTCTCTTTGTAGTTGGGCCCATTGTTGGCTATGCGGGCCCAAGTTATCCTTGCTAATTTCCTAATATTATGGTCCCATCTCAGGTTCGGTCTTCCTCTAGGTCTCTTAATTCCTAGCCGGTACCATGCTGTATGTGCATTTTTGGGGTCCATCTGTTGTTTGTTCTTCTTGCCAAGTGTTCTGCCCATTGCCATTTGAGGGATTTGACTCTGTGGATGACATCATCGATTTCCTGGTTCTTCTGTCGTATCCGCTCTATTCTTTTACGGCCTCTCTTGATTATTCCCAGCATATTTCGTTCCATTGAGCGTTGTGCGCCCTACAGTTTTCTTAAGATGTCCGATGGATGTCCGTTTTAAGTGTCCAGCAGAGGGATTCTGTAAGCTCCGTAGCAAGAAATTTCCTGTCTAGCCTATGCTATTTGTATACGATTGATAAGTCACTAGACAGGAAATAGTTTACAGAATCGGGCCCCAGGTTTCGCATACATATTGCATATTTCCTCCATGCTAACTTAATTCTTCTGACATTTTTTGTCATAATTAGAAGAAATCTATTTTTCAAACAAACTTTATATCTTATGGGAAATTGCATTAGATTTTTTAAATGATAATATCAAAGCCCTGTTAATAATAAAAAGTGAATGCGGTATTAGCTGTGGTATTGGTATACAGTATTTTTGTAACAGTCCATGGTACAATCATACAATCTTAGATGTTTTACTTTTTAAAATAATTAAAAACCAATTCTTAATCTTAATATTATTGATTAGATTAGAACAATATTAATTACCTCATTTTGTCAGAAATTGTACAGATAAAACGATTGCAGTCGAATTGCAGTAAATAGTTTAGAAAATGATTCATACACATTTCTATTAAAAAAAATGTGTGTGTGCACTATGTCCGCATATTTGAAGTGAAACTTAAGAGAAGTGAAAAAAATAATAAATAATTTGATTCACTTTCACAAAATTTGTATTAAAATGACCGTCTGTCCACGTGTCGAGTTCCGATCAACCCATAATTAAGAAAAATCCTGATGATTTCGTCCATTTAGAGGCGTCGCGCGTCGGTTCGAAACGTTCGAAACGTCGAGAGCGTCAACCTGTAGCCCGTTCCGAATTATGCCAAAATCGACCCAATTTTTCTTCGATATCAAATCCTTAGTCCCACCCTGATAAAGATGTAAACGAAACGTCGCGAGGTTTCGTACGACGCGTCGTATCCAATTTTGCAGAGTGGGACCGTGTGCACCGACGGTCACATAACCTACCCACCAAATTTGGTCGTGATCGAGTAGCATTAACTTTTGATGTTTCTTACGTCAAAAGTAACTGTCGCAGTGACACGTGTCGTACACGGTCAAATTGGCCTTGGTTCAATCTATCGATAGACCAAATTTCATTTAAATCGAACGATTTTTTCACCACTGATGATGTGGTTTGATAGTGCTCGAAACGTCGTCAAAATATGAAAACATCGGGCTCGAAGAGCCCCATCTGCATTCCGAGTTTCAACCCTCCAGCTCACATAGGGCTCGAGTTACAACGCTCCAAAGGCCCATCTAAACTTTCTTATTGGCTTACTACTTTTTTATCGTTACCACTTTTCGTGACGCTTGCCGTGATGCTAGCCCGTGTGTCACAGCCTTGAATGTTTACTCCCATCGCGTGTAAAGAAGTTTCACTTCAAAAACTTACTGTATTAAATATTAAATACCATATACTCTGTTTGTAGTGGGGCCCATTGTTTTCTATTGTTGGCTGTGCAGGACCATAAGTTATCCCTGCTAATTTCGTAATATCATGGTCCCATTTCAGGTTCAGTCTTCTTCTAGGTCTCTTAATTCCTCGTGGGTACCATGCTGTAATTTTTGAGGTCCATCTGTTGTCCGTTCTTCTTGCCAGGTGTCCTGCCCATTGCCATTTGAGGGATTTAACTCTGTGGATGACATATTATTACCTGGGTCTTTTGTCGTAGTCGCTCTATTCTTTTACGGTCTCTCTTGGTTACTCCCAGCATATTTGGTTCCATTGAGCTTTGTGCGACTTGCAGTTTCCTTATGATGTCAGTTTTAAGTGTCCAGGTTTCGCGTGCATAGGTCATGAGAGGCAGGGACGCGCCGTCCATATGGGCAAGGTCGTGCGGCGCACGACGGCGCCAAAGCACTAAGGGCACCTGCGGTCACTGACTTTAAAAAATAATAAAACCATTTTTTGGAACTTATTAACATAAATTTAAGTAATACTTTTATCTTATGAACGCCAGTGATGAAAATATATTATCCACCAATGTCGAGCGCCGCGCCGCTGGTCATTGGAAATTTTGGCTTAATATTATAATTTATAATATTGGAGAAAGGGGCCTACCCTTATTTCGCACGACGCCACAGTGCTTCGAGTATA